TTTCATCAATGGTGTGAGTATTACTATTCTATATTTTCCTAATTGAAAATAAAATAAAAGTTTGTCCAATATAAATATTTCATTTTGCTATGCACTATAATTGGTAATAAAAATATAAGAATCAATTGATAATTTGTTCCCAACAGTTCGAGACACCCGACACATACCATTGTTGTTTTTTCTCCGCACCTCAATTTAAACACATAATAGAATGATTTTTTATGGTTATTTATGCTTAAATATAAGTAAGTGGTTATTTATGCTAAATGCAATTAAGTAGAGGTTTCACTTCCTTATTTGTCGTATAACAGATCAATTAAAAATAATAAATTTAACAATTCACTTCAATTACTCAAAAATAATTCTTGCACAGATCAATAATAAATTTTCACTACACCCAAACAAAAATCAAAATAATTTTTGCACAGATCAATAATAAATTTTCACTGCACCTAAACAAAAATCGGTGCAGGTATCACTAATTTTTGTGTTCGTGATCTTAAAATGGACACACTTGGATATATGAGGTAGAACTTTATAATTGCTTTTACAGGCAGTTATTTTATACTCGTCCCGCGTGCATGTTGACATATTTGCCCTCGTTATATAATACTGTAACTACATTTATTAACATGGTTGTTAGGTGAAGCACCTTCATGCAAATGATATTTTCACAAAATTTCTACTGATTCTTATATTTTCATGGACAATAATTATAAATGGACTAAAATTTTAATTCGACACCAACGTTCTCACGCATCTAATGTCAGAACCGAGTTTTTTTTTTTTTTTTTTTTTTTCAGCAAAGAAACTGATTTATAAACAGCTGAAGAACAAGTACATTAAGAATAGCTCACACCAAACAAGACATGAAACAACATGGAGTTCTGTAGTCTTACATTCCTTACACAAAAATGTTACTTGGCGGGGGCTTGGATGAGTTGGTAAGGGCTTGGCATTGGCTTCAGCCTGGCCGGTGTTCGAACCTTGCTAGCCTCGCTTATCACTCCTAACTTATCCGGTGTATCCTTAGGGCGCAGCTCCACACCCTAGGTTTGTACCCTAGGGTGGTGGGTTCCGAAAGGGGCCTGCCAAGACCATGATCCTCAAGAAATATCATGAAACGCCACCTATTGGCCTTGTCAAACACCAAATGATGGAGACTCCGTTCGATCACCAGCATCAGAACATCCCGTAGTACCAAAGTTGCTATAGAAAATAAAGCAAGCACACCAAAACTTTATACACTGGATGACTCTAATATCTTGTCCACCACATGATAAAACGCCCTGCCAAAAGTTCCAAAGCAAAAGGCAGCAAATGGCTGAAGGTTGCAAAGAACATCCACCCCGAAAATATTGCGCCACTGTCCAGAGAGCAGTATGAGCTGGGAATAAACCAGTGACAACCACAGGCTTAATATATCTCCGTGAGCTCCGAGAGGCTACTTCAACACCTCCTGCATAAATATAAGTCCAATAATAGACATTCATATCCCACAGGATGTGTCCATTACCAGGAGGAACCCATCGAAGATCCATCCGCTAAGCGAAAAAGAAACGGCCTTGAAAAAACCACTTGGATGTTATTAGATCCAGTAGGAAAATTGCATTTAAGCAACCCAATAACAAAAGAAGAAAGCTCATGAACAAATCCCCCAATCAAATTTAGAATCACAAAATTTAAGGGGCCCATTTGAGGCTATGTGCTGGGTCAGGTCCATAGGCCCCTTCCAGAAATTTCCTACACAAGATTGCACAATCCAGTCGTCCTCCACAAGCAAAGTATGCACTGTAATGAAGTAATTAAGGTGTGAGCCCATGTGCAGACTATGCACCGACCTAAACCAGACGCGTGCAATGCAAAAGAGCGGATGTGACATCGACGTTGGCGAAATACAACCCATCAACATAAGGCATCCCGTGAGATCGATCAGCCAAAGTAGAATAAGGAGACATGAACGAGGGTGAGGCCATCGTCAAAAACTCAGTAGCAAACACACCACCATCACCACACCCATCTGACCAGGGAAGAACCAGAGCTTGGTGACAAAAGAACAACGACCACCACCCATGGGAACCATAAGCACACAGATACCCAAAAACAAAAAAAGAACTTGTTGAGAAATCAAACAACGCCATCCTGGTTTGAAATACGTTGGACAGAGGAACGGAGAAAACTCCACCGCAGCAAAAAACCATGCAGTGACGAAACAGAATGTTGATTGAACACCACCAAAGAGAGATGTAAACGTAGAACTCTTCCATAGTGCAAGGGACTATGATCAAAGCAACCAACAGAGAAAAAGAAAAACAAACAAAACAAAAAGAAGCAAGACGATCGAGCAAGAAAACAGGTGAGATTTAAGATAAGAAGAAGCAGAAAAAAGAGAAAAGAGAAGCTCTGACTCCGCAGAGAACCTCCACTCAACGAGTGGAGCCCTCTACTCAACGAGAGCAAACATCCAATGGTTCTGGACCACTTACCGGTGCCTAGGTTTTAATGTCAGAACCGAGTCACAATGGCCAGAGTTGTGACTTTTCTCTCCACACATTTGTTTAATGATAAGATCAATTAATTAGTCAAAAAAATAAAAGTTGCACGAATTTTTATTATCATAATCATCTTTCGGAAATTACCTTTTCTTTTATTTTTTAGGTATTTGGAAGATTCTAAGGTTAAAAAATTATTTTCCATATAAATTATTTTATCTTCAAATGACTAAAAATGATTTAGCAAAATAATTTTCGTAATTCATTTTTTGCATGTTACCTTGGGTCATCTTATTATAAATATTTTTATTGAACTTCTATGTCTCTCTAACAACTAATCTTTTTTAGTTCTCCCAATCTAAAAATATAATATTCAATCTTTTCTCTCTAAATGTATACATAAACTGAGAGGAGAGAGGAAGAGAGACAAATTTACGTCAGTTGAAGAACAGATTTGGGTCGAGAGCATGTTTTAGAGAGAGTGGGAAGAAAAAGTAATTAGGAGATGAATGGATGGTTTAGCGTAAAGAGAAAAAGCAATGAGAAGAGAGATGGTTTAGGGGGTACTATTCCCATTGGTGAGTAACACCGGAGAAAGTGAGAGAGAGATAGAGAGTTAATTGTGGGCATTATTTCCGTTTTGTAATGAACATTGAAAAAGAGATTGTTAAATGTGCACAAAAGCTGATATAGAAAATATTTTACAAGAAAAACATTTTACGGAGCCTAAATCAAAATTACAGAAAAAAAAGAAAAAAGAAAATCATAAATCAACAAATAACCTATATAGCCAAAACCAAATGGGTAATAGGCGAACTGTTACAAGCCAATCCCCCATTATTAGCGATGAACACGCATTCATATACAATATTTGAGAATAATTTTGAAATAAATAATGATCAACAACTAGATTCAACTTTTGCAGTTGTCTCATAAAAAGATAGTGGTAGGAAGAATATTATTCATTATACATATATAAATATTTATAAATAGAGAGAGAGAAAGAGAGAGAGAGAGAGATTCTAAAAATTAATAAAAATTTTGTTAGTAAATGACATGACCATTTTTTCTAGTTGGTTGTTTGGTATGGGCCTTATGACAGTGAGGTCCACCTTATGCTGAAGTGAGGTTTTTGTCCAATCCATTTGCCTGAGTAAGGCCCAACAAAGTTAGCCCCATTATTGGTTCTCAGCGAATCACCATGTTTCGTATAACTTTAAGGCCCGAAAGCTTTGCAACACACTGAATGTAGTTTGGCTTATTAACTTGCCCACGAAAATAATAATAATAACAACAATAATAATAATAATAAAAGGAGATGTACAAGTCTCTCCGAGCCTAAAAGATATGGGTTGGTGAGGCCATTTATTGTGTGTGTGGAAGAAATAAAATGAAACCCAATGTTGGTTTTGTATTGTTGGATATTGGAGGCCAAGAAACTTACAGTTCATGGATTAAGAGACCACAAGTAACAAAGACAAAATAAGTCCGTTTGTACATGTGTTAGCTTAGGTGGATTGGCCCAACCTTAGTCCCACGAGAAAATTTTCATTGAGCCCGTTGCACTATGCAACGAACGCATTCGGACTGTTCATATAATACAATCGCGTATATGCCATATGCCAATAATGAACAGTTAAATGTGCTTTACACGATGGCAGTGGGCAAAGAAATTTTTCCGGTTCCCCACAACCACAAGGCAGTACAATTTTGGCTGGAATTCGCTAACTGAACATTTGAGATGTGCTATAAGACAGATATACTAAATTAGAAATTGCAGGTAATATATATGGTTAGCAAGATAAAATAATTTCAATAAAAGTGTGTCATCTGGTGTCATTACATTACTTACATCACTTTCTCTTATATGTGCACTGCAATGCAAAGGACCAAAAGCACATGATCTTCACTGCACCAGCAAAAGGTGACCCCTTTGGCTGTGGAGGGGAGGGATTTGGATTCTCTCAATTTTATCTTTTACATCAATTCATGAAGTAAAATGCCTCACGTTTTTTCTTTTTTCTTATTCTTTTGTCCTAAATTCCTAATGTATCTACATAATATATATATATATATATATATATACCCAAAATACCACTGCGAGTCTCATCTACAAGAGATTGGCGGGAAAATCTGTTAAAGTGTGTGTAAGAGAGAGTTGGGTTTTTAAAGTGTGTGCGCGTCTGTATGTATTTGTTACTTGTTAGTTATCACGGTTAATGTAGTGCATACAAACTACATTTCTGAATCTGCTTCTACATCAAGAAAGATTGCAAGAAAAGAAAGCTCTCTCTCTCTCTCATGGCAAACTCCCCTCTCCACCACCCCCTCTTGACGGCCCTCACCATCATCATCAACCTTTGCCTCAGCTCAACAGCACAGTCTCCTCCACCTTCTCCGGCCACCACCGTACCACCATCACCATCACCATCACCATCACCACCACCACCACTTCCCTCTCTACCCACAACCATGGCATCACCACCACTTCCCCCTCTTCCCACAACCATGGCACCACCATCACAACCAGCTCCCTCTCCACCCATCACCACCATACAACCACCACCACCAATTCCCTCTATACCCACCACCATCATACAACCACCACCACCAACACCAATTCCCTCTCTACCCACCACCATCACACCACCACTTCCCCCTCTACCCACCACCAGCACACTACCACTTCCCCCTCTACCCACCATAGCATCACCACCATGTCCTCGGCCTACAATCTCATCAACATCACCAGTCCCTTTGCCCACAACCGCACCAAGCACCAACCTCTCCACCCAACACCACATCACCACCACCACCGCCACCACCTCCCCCACCCACCACCACATCACCACCACCGCCTCCGCCACCACCGGAGGTATCAGACCCGCAAGATGATCAATTCAACAACATAATCGACGCCCTAATGAGACTTCGGCGCTTGGGCAGGCATCCTCTCCGCCGCCGATCTATCAGGCTTCCCACTCGCGGCCACCCTCTTCATCCCCAGCAACGACGCAATCTCCCACTTCCCCACCGCCACCCTAAACTTCGACCCATTCATCATCCTCTACCACATTGCCCCCCAACGCCTCTCTTTCTCTGACCTCCGACGATTCAAGACCCATACTCGCCCCCCAACTCTATTGCCCTCCAAGACCATTCTCATCACCAACAATTCTCCCTTCAACTTCACCATCAACGACTCTCCCATCAGCCACCCCGACCTCTACGCCACCACCGTCTCCGTCCACGGCATCAAAACCATCCTCGATTACTCTGCCTACAGCGGCGACGGCCTTTTTGTACCGGAAGAGGACCCAAGTATGCCGATGCCCACGCCACCCCAAGCAACGGCGCCGCCATTTTTTCAGGCAGGAGAAATTATGGGTCGCCGGAGATCGGATGCCGCATGCCTGTGCACTGAGTTTCCGATTGTTTTATCGGTTGTTTGTGCGGCCTTGGCCTTCAAGATCCACAGAAACCCTCTGACTCGTTGATGGGCCTGTTAATCGATTGTTAACAGATGAGTCTCACATCAATCTGTACATGGGTTTTAGCTTGATGGGTCAGTGTTAATCATCTCTGTTAATTCTTGTTTGCTCACAGACTCTACCCTCTCTGTTTTTTCATGTTAATTCTTGAGAATGAAAATTTTGGATTCTTGTTACTTACAATAGATTCAAAAGGCAATGAAAGGGATTGTTTGGTTCATATCATTTGATATTGATTTGCTTATAGTTAAGTATTGTCAAGAGCCAATTGATGTAGCTTTTTAGGGTTTAAGGTTTCCTTTTGATCACAACTGAGCAATGTTGAGCTATAGAATTACAGTATTGGGTTGTTAAGTTTAGCAGGGTAAAAATTATATTAAGCTCAAGCTGAGGTCAAATTTGCTTCATGCTTAATTAACACATTCAAGTTTAGGTTGCTTAGATTTAATTTGTTAATCTCATGGGCTTTATCTAATCTTTTAAGATAGGCAACTGACACTAGCCCTTGAACTGCAACAGAATCAAGTCAATTTGAATATTTGGCTTCCTGTGCACAGTTGGCCCAAATTGATGACTTTTTAAAACTCAATTTAAGCCTTGTGACCGAATTTGACTGGGTGAGCAAACACATTGTTCTCAGGACTCCAACATTCAACCTTTTTATTGGGAGAGGAGAGATGTATCATCTCGATTAATATCCATTGTTAACACGGTGGCTACTATTTTAAGCTTTAATTCGAGTTGAATTGAAATTTGATACAAGTACACTTTCAGCAAGTCTCTGTTTACAAACCCAACAAGTTGAGACAGTTGGTACTTGGTAAGGGCTGTTCAAACTCAACTTGTTTAGTGAAAGAGACTGGAAACACTATTTGAGCTGAACTTGATTGATATCAAACAAGAAAGAAAATGTTATGCTATTGAACTAAGGATCAAACTTTGAGTTGACAAGCACAAGGCATTTACTCAGTTGCAATTCTATTAATTTTAGCTTGTGGTTTGATGTTTCATTTCCATCAGTGAAAAAAGAGGTCATGTTACAATGTGAACCATACAAAATTTAAGCTTACTTTTTTTTTTTTCTCAAACATTTATAATTGGATAATGATTCTCAAGCTTAAAACTCTAACCGAGAAATTTCTATCACTTGGATGAAGTGGATAGTATAATGACCCGAACCCAAGGGTCCGAATCGCTAACTGGGTCCTTACCCGAACCCGAGGTCATCTAAGGACAATACCGTCCTTTCCTACGTCAATACTTCTCACACAAGTCAGTCTAGGGTCTAAAATACTCCAAAGGCACAACAACTTTACAAAGATGGTCAAATGTACAAGTCAAAAAGAAAGAATCAGCCGGCTGAAAGCCCTTGGTCTGCCGGCTGACAGGGCGGGTTCGGTCGGCTGACCTACATGGTCGGCTGGCTGAAACGGTTATCAAAACTAGGTGCTCTTGGGGCTTTCCAAAAATAGCTTGTCGGTCGGCTGGTGAAGGAGGTTCGGTTGGCCGAACCTGGGGTTTCGGTCGGCTAATGGTGAGGTTCAGCCTGCCAAAACAAGGCTTCACACCCCTAAACTCTCTGGAATGGTTTACAACTGTGCTCGTTATGAACCAAACCTATGCTGGACCTGTTATGCAATCAAATTCCGAATTCACGGCAATAGAGCGTGATATAATATAGTTGAAAGGTATCTATAATTGGTCGGAATATAACTTCTTTACCCATTCATCATGAAATAATTACATAGTCTCATTTTACTTCAAAATACCATCAAGTGTTATGGCTACAATACATGACTACGGTTCACAAAAATGAATAAACTTTTCTATGGATTGAGACCTTACAAAAGAATGGAACCAAATATACAAAAGATGACAAAAAATGGATATAAGGGGTGAGCAAAGTTTGCTCAATAGGTGGTGCCTAAGGCACACCTCTTGTGACCCGTGAATCCAAATAATGAATAGAACAAAAGGACTGGCTACAGTCCCTGACCCTTGGTACCTCTGCGGCGTCATTTGAGACCCAGATTACTCAACCACGCTAAGGTGATTTCCCGAGTTCCCTCTAGGTTATATTAACGCCACGGCCCTTTGGTGACTCCGCAGCGACCGGGTTTTCCACAAAACCACTTTAATCAAAACTTTTTCTCAAAAAAAAAATTCATTTTTATTTCATTCACTTCAAATCATTTTGCCCTTTTTCATGCCCAATGCTATGAATACATGTCACATACTTTGCCATTACTATGAAAATGAAAGAATTTCTACTACACAATTTAACATGCTTCCACATACCAATTTCTAGTAAGATAATAAACATCATGGATATGGAAATTAACACTTAGGCATGTTTTTCATACAATTCAATTAATGCACATAATCATAGATTTCATATACAACAATTATATCATTTTCAAAGCAATCAACTCAAATTAAGCATGCTTGACATCAAATTTTGAAGGAAAATTCATAAAGGAACAAGAAATTGGGACTTAGAAACCCTAACCTCACTTAGATGCAAAAACCCCCAATTTATCCAATCCAAGCCCTAGAATTAGAAATTCCTAGGGTGCACCAAAACCACTTTTGCTCCGATCAAATCGTAGATCTCAACGCGATCTTTAATTTTTCGTAAACGGCATCTAAAAACTCCAAAAGACAAGAGAGAAATCAAAGATTGAAATCCCACGTGAAAAAAAAAAAAAAAGAAGAAGAAAAGAAAAGGGAGAGAAAGTGAGTTATGAGAGAGAGAGAAAATTTGTGAGGCCAATGATGGCCTCCTTGCCACTTATAAGTAAAGTGGTGGGTCCTACCACTTCTTAATTAAAAAAATTTCTTTTCCCCTTTTTATTTTAACCACAAATATATATACATACACACTTAATAATCCACAACCACATAAAATATAATAAATAAGATGTATGAGGTGCAAATGGACCCAACTGAAATTCCCGTATGCAACAATTCCGGTAGCAAGTCCCACACGGAACCGTCCGGCTCGAAAAGAAATATACAAAAATGACCACCTTTGCATCTCAAAGAGTCCTAAACTCAATGAAATGCTCCAACCAACTTACGAACATACCCGGCACACCCCACGGTGTCGGTGAGAAAGGACAAAAATGCCCTTGCACGAATGAAAAATTCCAAAAAAAAAGAAAAATGACGAATTTCAGAAAAATTACAATCTACCCTCCTTAAAAGATTTCGTCCTCGAAATCTACCCTCCTTAAAGAAGGAGGCCCACAGCCGCACACCTTCCCGAGAAACCTCACAAAACCCCAAAACCATGAACTCACCAACATTATTGCCCTTGACACCAAACGTAACTAGGCAATTCAGAAACCACTGTCACCAAAACTCAATGTTCACCACCCTATGAGGGTACTCATTTCCCACAACTTCCCAACACAAAACCAACTAGTACATTCTATATTATACTCAACTCAAAATGGACGCCGGTCCACTCAACACTGCCACGAAAAGCTCCAAAGCCCGGAAGAAGAATAGTTGCCTGACCACTGAACATGACAACATCTATGTCCAACTCATCCTTTAAAGGACACACAAGACTCCAACCGAGGAATCCCGTCCATCTCACAATCAAGCTCAACTCAGATTTATGCATCTCTATTAGACCAACACTCTTCACCTAACACACAGCTACACCACCACATATCGATACAAGCGACTACCGACCGCACCATTCGGCAATCATTACACATAGTAACCACAAGATGTCTAAAAATAAAACTCCCAATAACTACATAATCATAAGTCACCAAAACAATAAAACAACTTATCAATGATCGTACCGTATACCCTTTATCAAACACTTAGTACCATCTAACACCCCTCGTCATCTGAATCTACACTGCCACAACAACACAACGCTTAAAACCGTGTTCTCACTGTCACTAACAATTCAAAATGATTATTGACCCTTGACCCAACACCATGCTAAAGAGGGACTGATTCAAGAGAAATGGTTGGCCAGGTCATTCTCATCCTCAATCCGATCTCAGCACAGACGTTGTTCCAGTCCTTAGGTCCAAACCTTAAACATAGTCTCACACGATCCACAAAACAACCAAGAGATCCACTCACAATCCATCCATCGTTCCACATAACCTTAACAACTATACAATCACACACCAGCTCTAAGAATCTCAATAACTCCTTAATCATGCAACTCGGAACAAGCTAAAAACAACACAGCACCAAACGTCACAACCATCAACCAGCACTAAAGATCTCTAATTTCCTCATAACATCCACACCAGGTAAACAACATCATAACATTACTCGATTCAATTCTTACGTCGTCAAAGCACACAATAAAACCATCTCATGTCTAAAACCTTAAGACACTACTTGAATTAAACACCTACAAAAACATTTGAGTACACGACTCACTTCACATCATCTAATCATCCTCAAACCGCCATTCAATACACATCCTTTAGCCATCACTGCTAGTACCAAACACCGGAAACACAATTTCTATTCGGCAACATGTGCCTCGCATTCTACCGATCAAGACCACTCCCAAACAAACGCTACTAAATACCGACGACTTTATCTCCCTCCGTGGAAGTGAGTCGACCAAACTAACCAAACCCTACTGATGAACTCTAACAACATAACAAACCACATACAGGTCCGTCCACCCACGGACGCGCACAACTCCAAAATGAAGAACAAGACTCACGTTAAACGATGTCATTGCTAGGACTAGAACAAACGAAAAGGGTAAGGAACCCTGCTCTCACAAGAGACTGACGACTCGCACCTGAATGCACTCGACAACCTGTCATACGCTACTAATCGTTCGTCCAACCATGGACACCTAATCTCACCTGAGATGAAATGAACTCCTTGTACACAAGGAGGAGAACAAACTGAAAACACATACAGAACTACGAACACAAACCTAGGCGAACTCGCCACCAACGAACCGTCAAATACTACTAACACGGAACCTCGCATACGCTACACCGCGATACTCATGCTAACCAAAACCAACCAGACAAGAGTACCAACACTCATGACATACAAACACTAGAAATAATCACAGCCCTTCCGACACCGCGTCCTGTTCCATCATAAAATCGTCACTCCCAAATGGCAATCCCTAAGCTGTAAAATGTCACTTTACCACCCATTCCACTTTCACCTTTCAAGGCGACACTACCT